GGATGTTTAGACCAGATGACAGAGACACTCCTTCGTCTCTGACACCCATGATTCAGAGCCAGACACTCTGCTCCCTCCATGGTGAGAACGGTAACCTTTCCCTGTGTTTTCTTTCCATCTTGCAGAACTTAACAGGAAGTAATTTGCCTGGTACAAAAATTAAACATAGCCTTAAAAGCTCTGAAATTATGTAATTCATTCTCATGTTACAAATATCATATTTTGAAAGTCCTTTCCATGAAACTCTGTTGCATTTCCAGAGTGTTGCATTGATTTTAATCCTGTTAAATTTCAAAATGTCTTTGATATAGGAGTTACGCAACAGAGTAGGGATTTTTTTTTTTTTTCCTCAGCTGCCAATTTATCTCTTCAGTTGATTTTCAAACTGTGATGAATCTATAGGTATGAACTTCTACAAAGACCCAGGTTAAGATTTGTCTTTGGGTAGCTAATGTAGTTAGACATTTTTGAGAAAAAGGAATGAGAAGTGGTCATTATCCATTATCTGCATGAAATATTTCAGAGAAAGAAACAGTTTCTGCCAAGCACAAAAAGATGTTTGAGCTGAAGCCAGACAAGAAGGAAACAAGATCACCTTATAGCACTGTGAGATTGCTCTACTAATGATGTTATTTCAAGTAAAACTGGAATATATATATGAAGAAGTGCAGATGGTGCATGGGTTTTACATGGATTAGCAGTGTTGTTCTGGACAATGATTCACTGTCCCTTTTCTTGGCAGAAAATAAATTTTCCAGTCTTGGAAAGCAATATGTATATATATATTTTAAGAAATGTTTCTTTATGTGGAAAAATAGCAAGTTTGAGTGAAAATAGCATCCACTGATGGAAAAGTTAACAGTCAGAATGAACACTTTGAAAAAAAAAGATGTATTCACACTCTACAATTCAAGGGCAGGAGAGATGTATAACGTGGTGCAAATTGCGGGTTAGTTGGGGGTGCAAGGGCCTGAAAGTCAATACTGGATCCAGCATCACTGGGAGCTTGGCTCAGTGCTGTCTTATCATAGGGTCAAGGCTTGAAGGTGGATGTGGATGGTTTTAGACCCATAAGTTAAAAGAAGCGTTTATGCAGGTGTATTAACTGGACCGGCTTTCTTTTAAGTTACTCTGTAGAAATGTGCTAGAAATACCTAAGAAAATGTTATCTTTTGAAGAATAAAGAATCAGCTGTTTATTGCAACCCTTGTCCTAGAGAAGGAGGTTTCTTAAGTTACCATGAATCCCATCACAAAGACCACAGAGGAAAATCTTTCCAAAAGTTGAAGCATTTTAGAGTTGTATTTATTATTATTTATATTATCCATATGATAATATTATCCTTACTGATAGAATGATTTTGACACACGCTATCTTGGGATCAATCAGCACTAAAACCAAATACGGTATTTCCATTTAGGAAGCCAGAAATTGCTTCCATTCAGTGCTCTGAAGCTGCTGGGTTTTGTCCAGTCTTCAAGATGATAGTGAAAATTCAGTGTCTCACTTCTTTGGGACTGCACATTGCCCATCTTACATCTCTGCCTGGGCCTGTTTAATTTTGGTGGGAAAAATTCTCATCTGGGAAAAGGAGGAAGCACTCACCTGGTTACTGATTTTGGATTTTTTAATTATTTTTTCTTCCTGTAAGACAGCTATATATGAACATCTCAGAGGTTTGGATGTCAGAATGACCCTAGGGGACAACTGGTAGGAAGAGAACAGGTCACTCAACAATTTATTATATGGACGTCAGTATGGTGTGCAAAATTTATGCTGCTTATTACAGATACTGCATTTAAAGCTTGTGGGTGTACAGGCTTAAGACACCCTTTACTTATAAAATAAATAATTCAAAGTCCACTTAAATTAATGTTATTTCTGTTAAATAGGCACATCGCTTCACATCAAACTTCATGTCCAGTGAAAGCTTACTAAAAACTACTGTTGGAAGGACACATGCATTTCTTGTACCCTAGATTGTCTGCACAGAAGAGGTCTCCGCTGTCCTTAAAATGCCCACAGCAATTTAAATCATTTACATAAACAGAAATGGTTTTACAAGTAGGATACTGAAACACGCTTTCAAAGCTGCCCAGAACCTTTAACCATTAAAATGGACCTGACTGATGGTTTTGTGAAATTTTGATGGTGTTTTCTAATAAGTTACTTTTAGCACTTACATAAGATTGTGTCTGTATCTTATACAGACACACAAAAAAAGAGGATTTCTCAGCATGAGTTACTCTTCTGTAAAGGTTATAGTAAACATGTCAATGCCTAATTAAGCAGAAAATTTTATATGTGTTGTGGGGGATGTGCAGCTGTCTGGTACTTCTGCTTCTCCTAGTAAATCCTTTTAGAAGGACAAAGGATATTGTGAGGAAGAAACTACTCTATGTATCTTCCAAAGGGGAAAAAAAAATGCCTTCTGGTGGAAAATGGGTTAACAGTGTTCAAAGAATTGGTGCTGAAATAGAGAATCAAATTTGCACCGACCCAAAACCGTGTGAGTGCTATTTGTTGTCTGTTTTGTCTGATTCCTTCATTGGATTCCCTCCTTATTTTTGTTTTGCTCGGTGTAATATGCTTGGCACTGTGATACATCCTGGCAAGGGGCCAGCGTCGCTACCTACGCTGTACAGTATCTCTAACACCGCGAGAACCATGTCAGTCCTGCTCATCAGTTCATGCTGCTTGTTTAACAAGGTTACTACTCATGACGTGCAGGAGATTTTGCCGCCTCCATGTCCCTCCATTCTCCTTGTCCCCCTGAAAAACAAACAAGCTTAGAAAGGAGTACATGGGAAGTATTATCTGGTTAGTAGGGAAAAAGATTAGGGAGGAGAAAACATATTTTGCTCATAGTATTGTCTGTGCTGCCTGCCACAGTCTGATTATCTCTAAATGTGACTACTGATATTTGCTGTACCCCAACATATTCCTAAAAGACTTATTTTTTAGTAATTAACACTTAATATTTATCTTCTTTGCTGGAAGCCTCTGCTGCAGAGCACAGTGTTCCTACTACTATGTGACTATTGTTTTGTCATACTAAAATGATGTCCAAGTCATTTGCACATAGCCACTGCTGTTGTCTTTGCCCCTGGTTGTGAAGCTGCCTAGTATAACCCTTGGAGTAAGGCAGTGTGATCTTCAGGTCCTAAGACAGCGGGAAGGGCGCAGGAAAGATGACTCACGTGGGTTTCTTAGCCTATCCACAGAGAGCGCCATCGTTGCCCTCTTCTTATGCTGCAACTTCATCCAGGAAACCGTTCCTGTAGTTGTAGTGCATCTCTTTGTCTTGATGGTCAACATGTGTTGGGAGGGGTGAGATACACATGCAAACAGATTGAAAATTTGAAACACACATCTGAAAAAAATGTGGAAGGCTTTGTCCATATGTTAATCAAAATGATTCTACCTTTTCTGCCCATCCCTTTTGATTTGCTCAAAGGATATAAATTGTGTAGGAGTAGGAGTAACAAATTCAAGGGAGCAAAAATGGGCCAGGTTCTCAAAGAGCCATAAGATGGCTTTTCTCAGAAGACAGGAAGGAATTGGATTTTAGACAAATAACACTTTTAGTCTCATTTACCTTGTGCTTGATGAGCTTTTAGGGTTACTTCACAATTAAGAGCACTAGAATTTTATGATATTTTTGCTTAGTTATTTTTAAGGGTAGCTTTGATATGGGGGGTTTGGTATTATTTTTTTTTACATACTTACCTGATACAAAAAGCTAGATCTTAAGGAAACACAACAAAGTACTCCTGAGACTGCAGTGCAGTCACTAGGGTCAGCAGCACTGCGTGTGCACCTGACTGCAAGGGCTCATCAACATATCTCCTATGAAGAACTGTGCTTCTGAAATCAACATTTAGTTTTGATGAGTGGATGTCAATAACAGTGAATTGTTTCAATGTCTACTTGCATTGTGCATAACAGCTTTGCAGTGGCTGTTAAAAAAATTACACTGGGTTTTTATGAAAACACCAGAATCACTCGTTCTGCTCCATCCCTTCTTGTGGGGTCTGGGAGTGAATTAAGTGAATTGTGAATTTATCCACTGACTGCAACGAAGCCAGTCCACCCTTAAAAATCCTCTTCTCTGTTCTTAAGTCTGTTTTTAACCAGGTTGTCTCCTGTAACTTAGGCAGAATTACAGCTGATAAAAGGCCAGAAAAAAACCCAAACCCTGAATTCCTTAATTAATTTTAAAATTTACAGCCCTTCCAGTATCAACTTCATCTTACTAATTAGTTAATTTGTCAAAGAAGATCTTTCTGGATTTGTTCTACTTTTCCCATTTTACAGTTAACTCTGGTCTACCTCTGCCATATCCTAATACTGTTCTGTAACTTCCAAGGATTCTTCCCCTGAAATTTATGGATTTGTTTTTACTGAAGCACAGTTTGCTTTTATGGCACACAGTACATTACTTTTATAAACAAAAGAGTTCCACTTATACCTATTAGCACTTTCAGACATTATATTTTGACATATAAATTATTTGTGTACATTCTAAAGTGCATTTTTAGGTGAACAAATGGCAAAAGGTTACTGTACCTAGATGACGCTGTGAACCAGGAAGATTATGGCAGGGGTTTTTTTCTGTTCATTTTCAGTTCTAACCTTTCTTTCACTGAGGCTAAAATCAATTTCATAGAATTGAAGCTTTTAGTATAAACTTTAAATTCTTACATATGAATTTTCCAACTGTCCCATTACAGGACAGTTAGAATTATACTCCCATGACAGGAAAATTATTAACTCAGAATCTCTGGCAGTTATAAAGAATTATGATCATCTGCCAACAAAATGCAACAACCTTCACAAAAAGAAACATCATTTGGCTTTTTTCACTTCCAGAACTAACAGGCAATAAAGTTGTAGATTAAAATGAAGTCCAGTAAAGAAAAAAAATAGTGAAACTAGAAAGCTCGAACTGTATTATTCTCCTCTAACAAGTTATTTCATATATTGACGTTACATTTCAGGTTATGTCCAAGAGGAAGATTTAAAGGAAGAGGAAGATATAAAGGAGGAAGAAGAAGATGATGATGACAACAACTCAACTGCCCAACTCCAGGGCAGCAATGACACTGGCACGGATGAGGAACATGACTTGGGTCCTGAGCAGAAAGGGAACTTTAGTTATCAGAATTCCCCTGTCAGTCATATATCTAACCAGGATGCAGAAAATGAATCACTACTAAGTGACGGTAGTGACCATGTGGCAGATATTAAAAGTATTTGCTCTAGAGAGCCACAGGACCCAAAAACCAGCGCCCATCCCAAAGCCCAGAATGAAGCACATGATTGCATGGATAAAATGACAGCGGTCTATGCCAACATACTGTCAGACTCTTACTGGACAGGCTTAGGGCTGGGTTTCAAGTTGTCTAACTCTGAAAAGAGGAGTTGTGACAACAGAAATGGAGGGAACAAAGCTGATTTTGATTGGCATCAAGACGCACTGTCAAAAAGCTTACAGCAGAATTTACCTTCCAGACCTGTCTCAAAACCCAACCTGTTCAGCTCGGTCCAGCTCTACAGGCAGAGCAGCAAAATGTGTGGAACTGTGTTCACGGGCGCCAGCCGGTTCCGGTGCCGGCAGTGCAGCGCTGCCTATGACACACTGGTAGAACTAACGGTTCACATGAACGAGACAGGTCACTACCAAGATGACAACCATAAAAAGGACAAGCACAGACCTACCAGCTACTCAAAGCCCCGAAAAAGAGCTTTCCAGGACATGGACAAGGAAGATGCACAAAAAGTTCTGAAATGTATGTTCTGTGGTGACTCTTTTGATTCCCTTCAAGATCTGAGTGTTCATATGATAAAAACAAAACATTACCAAAAAGTGCCTTTGAAGGAGCCGGTACCAACCATTTCTTCAAAAATGGTCACTCCAGCAAAGAAACGTGTGTTTGATGTTAACAGGCCTTGTTCCCCCGATTCCACAACGGGGTCTTTCTCAGATACTTTCTCTCCTCAGAAGAACGCAAACCTGCAGTTATCATCCAACAACCGCTACGGCTACCAGAATGGTGCCAGCTATACGTGGCAGTTTGAGGCCTGCAAATCCCAGATTTTGAAGTGTATGGAATGTGGAAGTTCCCATGATACCTTGCAGCAGCTCACAACCCACATGATGGTCACTGGCCATTTCTTGAAAGTCACAAGTTCAGCTTCAAAGAAGGGAAAGCAACTTGTTCTGGATCCTTTAGCTGTGGAAAAAATGCAATCACTGTCTGAAGCACCAGCCAGTGACAGCCCAGTTTCGAAGTCAACCAGTAAATCATCTGCAGAATGCATAGTTCCCACCTCTGAACTAAAAAAAGAAAGTAAAAAAGATAAAACTGAAGATGTGAACAAAGATGAGAAAGCAGTAAAAACTGAAGAGTATGAAGACTCTCTTCAGAAACCACTGGATCCCACAATGAAATATCAGTATCTCAGAGAAGAAGATTTAGAAGATGGTTCAAAGGGTGGTGGGGACATTTTAAAGTCCTTGGAGAACACTGTCACAACAGCCATTAATAAAGCTCAAAATGGAGCACCCAGCTGGAGTGCCTACCCCAGCATCCACGCAGCTTATCAGCTCTCTGAAGGAGCTAAGCCATCTTTGCCTGTGGGTTCCCAAGTACTGCAAATCAGGCCAACAATCACCAATAAATTGAGGCCCATAGCTCCGAAGTGGAAGGTCATGCCTCTGGTCCCTATCTCGGCAAATGTGGCCCAGTGCACTCAAGTGAAGAAGGAAACTGATGACAAGGAGGAGGTACAAAAGGACTATGCTAAAGAGAGCATCCAAGCTGAGCCTGCCTCTCTCAACCAGAATGAGAGAGAACCACTCCTCAAATCTGAAGCCTCTGTGGAGCCAAAAAAGACAGAACCATGTCCCTTGAAAGAAGAAGACAAAATTAAAGAGGACAGTGGGAAAGAAAAAACAGTCCTCAAGGAAGCAACAGCAGCTTCTCTCAGTAATGGTTGTGCTGCTGCCAACCATTCGTCTGAACTGCCTTGTGTCAACCCTCTCAGTGCGCTGCAGTCAGTACTCAATAATCACTTGGGCAAAGCCACTGAGCCTTTACAGCCTCAATCCAACTCCAGCCCCAGCTCTAGCACAATTTCTATGTTCCACAAACCTAATCTAAATATGATGGAGAAGCCAGTTTTATCTCCTACTCCAACCCCACCAAAGCCTGCAAGTGTATCCAGGCACTATTTATTCGAAAACAATGATCAGCCTATTGACCTGACCAAATCCAAAGGCAAGAAAGCTGAGTCAGCTCAAGCACAATCTTGTACTTCTCCACCTCAAAAACATGCTCTGTCTGACATTGCTGACATGGTCAAAGTTCTTCCCAAAGCTACTACACCAAAACCTGCTGCATCTTCAAGGATCCCATCTATGAAGTTGGAAATAGATGTCCGACGCTTTGAGGATGTCTCAACAGAAGTCTCCACTCTGCATAAAAGGAAGGGCAGGCAGTCAAACTGGAACCCTCAACATCTTCTCATTTTGCAAGCTCAGTTTGCTTCCAGCCTCTTCCAGACATCTGAAGGTAAATATTTATTATCAGATCTAGGCCCACAAGAGCGCATGCAGATTTCAAAATTTACTGGACTGTCAATGACCACCATCAGCCATTGGTTGGCAAATGTCAAGTATCAACTTAGGAAAACCGGAGGAACAAAGTTTTTGAAAAACATGGACAAAGGACATCCAGTCTTTTATTGCAGCGACTGTGCATCTCAGTTTCGAACCCCATCTACTTACATTAGCCACTTAGAATCTCATCTAGGTTTCCAAATGAAAGACATGAACAGGCTGGCTGTGGAGCAGCAAACCAAGGTAGAACAAGAAATCTCCAGAGTTTCAGTTCAAAGATCTCCTGAAACAATAGCTGGAGAAGAGGACACAGACTCTAAGTTCAAATGTAAGTTGTGCTGTCGGACATTTGCGAGCAAACATGCAGTAAAACTTCATCTAAGCAAAACACACAGCAAGTCACCAGAACACCATTCACAATTTGTAGCAGAAGTGGATGAAGAATAACTCTTAAGGTATGCATGCTCTATAGCAAGTTTTAATTTCATCATTTTAAGGAGGCTTCGTAAGACATTCTTAAGACTTTCTTAAATGTAGGAAAACAGTATAAAATGCATAATGTACTCCTGCTTCATTAATCTAATTGCATGTACATATCCATTTTATAATGTTTTCAAGAAGAGAGCTTGGTAAATGCATAACCACATTGCCATATATAGAAAAGTTGCTTCTTGTTAATAATTTCAAAATAGCTGTTTTCCCAGTTCTCGCTCTCTTTTTTGTTTCTAAGAATTAATTGTTCCATGTCCTATGCACTTCAGTGTGGAATGCAGCAACTAAATGCTACTTTTGCAATGAGAATGGAAACAGCAGAAAAAAAAGCACTAAAACCCAAAAGATTATTACCACTCTCCACGCTAACACACCAGTAAATCTGATTTTGATGGGGGGAAAAAAGACAATTCAAATGTCAAATTAGCAAAATCTTAATTATTCCAAGTTTTTTACAATCTGAAACCCAGCCTCAAGAATCTACAAATAAGTCTGGAAAGTTTATATCTAGAAGATATTCTTTTGTTGATATTTGGGTATGCAGTTTTGTAAAATATTTTAATATTTTACACTTACTTAAACACTTACTATTGTGAGTGGCCTTTTTTGTCGCATCTTTTTAACCTATCTCTCCGTCACTCCTTTTTTTAATCTTTAAGATGTTTGATTATGTTTTGTTCCATGTTGATGGGAGTGCTAGTCAATCCATATACATCACTGACTTCAGTGCAAGTTTTCATATAACCTGGGGGGGGGTTAATGCTTAATTGAGAAAGCAGCTATATTTCTTACAAGCTTGATATTTCAAAGACCTGTTAGTGGGATACTTCTACGTTAGTGTTGCTGGTTTTTGCTGAAAGATACACAGACTGAAGTACTGCTGCAACCAATGTTTATAACATGTAATGTAATATTCAGATGACACACAATTTTGCATTTTTAATTTTACTTGATTCACAAACATGAATATTCTTGATTTAAATAAATATGCAGAACATCAACTAAAAGTCCAAATAGAAGTTTTTTGTTCTAATGAGTTTATTTCCAGGAAAGCTCTGTTAGTCATTCCCAACAATTTCTCCAGCAGGCTCAGGCTCTGCTTCTGTTCACAGAATAATCATGTGCAGATTCAGATTTTCTCCAACGTGTTCATTACTTGAATAACATTTGAAAAATGAATTCGTCAGACAGTCAAAATTAAAGATGTGTTGTGAGTTGTCACTTACGCCACCTGCTATTGTGGCTATTCTCTGGCTAATTGAGGGTGCAGGCACTTGGAGGATGAATACCCGTTTGTGTATTTCACATTTGTTTGCTGCAAATATTCATGAAGCTTTAAGAAACACTTTCTGTGTACAGAGCCAGCACAAGGACTATGCATCACTTAGCTCCATTAAAAAGGCTACTTTTGAATAATTTAAACCACTAATCAAAGGGTTACTTTGGGATGGGTAATAGAAGCTATTACTGTAGAGTACAACGTCAGTATTCAAGTGCAATAAGATTTAAGTTTTGCATACATCTCATACGTGCTGTCCCCATTTGACTAGATTTATGCTTTCTGCATGTTTTAGCCAGCAAAATTCTGTCCAACTCAAAAAGAGTTTGTTTTCCAAATAGGGCTAATACCCTTAAGTTTCTTTCTTGTCACATTTTGCCCAACATTAGAACTCAACAAATAAATGTTACTTGTTTATCTGACCATTCAAATTCAACATACCTGACAAAATATCAAAAACTACAAGAAATTGGTTAGGAAGAATAGACCATACATTGTTTCCTGCCCACCAGTTAATGATTAATAAGACTGACATTCATAGTTTTCACACAAGAGATACTAGAGCAAACCAATAATTTGGGTACTATCAAACAAAAACTATCTGCCAAATGTATTAATATAACAGCTATTTTGGCACATTCATGGCTTAATACATGACAAATGTTTCAGATTTGGTCTTAAAAGCACTGTGTTATTACTAAGAGGCAAACCAAACACCCACCTTTATAAACATGTTACTATTTCTGAGGATTTGGGGAACAAATACAAAGGAAAAAAAAAATCTCCAAGGGAAAAAAAAAAAGGTGGTTTCTGCATTGTAATAACCTGCACAGACACATTGGGGTATTATTCAGGTGATATGTAACTACCTGTCCTTCCTGCCTTTGGGTACCGAGAAATTGCTATCCTCTTAATACTCATCCATTTCTAATTTATATCAAGATGCAGGTTGTATCTTACCTTTGAAAAAATATATTTAAATAGCAATGACAGAGTGATAGCACTGTTATCTGGAACTATAATTTTAGTTGGTATGCATGATAGCACAAATTGTATGAAATGATGGGGTATTTTGGATAGCATTGTAAAGATTTTATTACAGTTTTGGAGCCGTAAGCCTACTGAAGTTCTGACACCGTTAGAAGTGTGGAGGCCAGAGTTTATTCATATGGCTTCTTCCTGAGCTCTTCAAGGAGACTAAATCAAATAACAGGGATTTTCAGAGTTTACTTATTCTTACCGTGTTATTTTTAAGATTCAGTATACATTTGAATAGTAACGTAGAGGAAAGCACAGTATTTAGAAAGAAACATAAAGCATACTGAGATTCTTAAAATGCACACATGCATTTGCATTTACTTCTTCTAGTCAATATTGTAGTGAAATAGAAATAAAAATAGAGAAAAGATATGGAAATAAATGGAAATAAAACAGTGGAAAGTACTCAAAGTATAGAAATACATGAAATATTTTCTATATTTCAATGAAATTTACTATCAAAGGTTATATTTTAAAGTGTTAGCTATCATTAAATATATAAATTATTAATCTGGGTTAGTGCTGTAGAAAAGTGTGTTATGTATATGGATTTATTTTTAAGACCTCTCTGAGGCTGTTTATAAGAAATTTACTATAAATTCTTCTTAAATGTAAAGACGCATATATCTGGTTTATATTCATCTTTGGAGTTTTCCTGAGTTCTTCTAACTGATATAGGTTTAGTAATATAATGTAAAATTATGTGTAATATACAACAATCAGATATCTCCATTCTCTTTCATTTAAACTGCTTCAAATCTGGTTTTATTGCTATTCTTCAAAGAAAACCCATGAACATTAGGGAACATGGCTTTAATTAGAAGTAGTTTGTATGTTGACTTATACCTTTGAAGACCATTTGTTCATTTTTTCAACTAAATTAGAATTTTTATGTTGTCCTGAGAAAAAAGACAAGGCAGAATTGTATTTCTAATTTTAAAGTCAAGTGGGATTGGCTATAAACTGGTCGGCAACTGAGGATCTCTGTGGTCTTATCTACAACTTTTTTATAGAAACAAGTCTCTTATAGACTCAAATTTACCAACTTGACTGGGGAGATTTCTGTTTCAAAAGACCCTGATAAGTAAACAAGCAGCTACCTGAGATGAACTAATTTGAAAGTAAGGCTGCTGCAAAACAAAAAAATGAGTCATAATGATAAACAGTTTTTCTCTCTGTTTCCTCCTTTGTCTTTTTTTAACCATCAGGTTTAAAGCTTCTACAGTGCTTTTTTTCTACTTTATAGGAGACAACTGACATTCTGTGGTAAATGGAAGAAAGAGCAGAGCAGAACTGAAAATCCTCTAATGCACTGACACTAACTTGCCCTCTATTGTTGAAAATGAGCAGGCAATCATGATTGTTCATCAAATGGCTCCTAATGCAGTTAAAGCATTCAGCTATAATTTCTCCTTGCATTTATAATTACTGTCATAGACTGCACACCTCAGTGAGCAGATTAAAGCTATAAACTATTTAGCCGTAGCTTTAAGATGAGGAACTTGATTTGTCTGGCAGCAGTTATTTGTTAGAGAGCTTGACACTTCACATAAAAATGACTCAACTTGATGAAGAACAATGCAGTTTAAGCAATGCAGTGATTTTAAATCAGTCATTATACCACGCCCTGTAAGAATTGCAAAGCAATTTGTTAAATGATATATAGGACACGTAGATAACTGTATGTGTTAAGTATACCAAAATAGAAGATTTTTTTTCTTCCGTGGATTTTATTTTCTCATCCCTCTGAAACAGTAGGAGCTGCTCTGAACATCATGTTCCACTATTAGCCAATATTGGTGTTACATGGACAATTGCATGAATTAGTAGTCCAAAACTATATTTTGGAGAATTTAGCTTGCTCTTCATCTTTCATTTCTTCTCAGCAACAAACATTAAAAACTGAGAGACCCTTTCTGGAGAATCATTCATGCTGGTATGTAGCTGCCTGCAGTTCTGTCCACAATGATTTCGTAAGCAGAATTTACCAACAAAACTAAGGGTTCTGCTCACCACATCATCAGCCAGAAAGAGAGGGTTCATTGCAATTAAAGCCTTGATTATTCAGTTCAAAAGGGACTTTTCTGACAGAATCTTGGTGGAAAATGCTGACTTCTCAATGGTAAAAAAATTATGTGGGGAAGTCCCACTTTAAAATAGACTTCTATTGGGATAAACTGGGTAAAATTGCTGAGCACCATGAAGGAGAGAAGAGGAGACAGTGGAATAGGAGGAGGAATAGGTTGGCCTTTCCGCTGTGCTGGAGGAGAGACACAGAGCCCACACATGGCAAGGAACTACCTCCAACTTGTCACTCCTCCCTCAAAATAGTCCTGTTCTGGTGAAGCCTCAGTTGCCCTAATCCTTTGAAATTTATCACTGTTTCCCCAAAGTGGTAGATCAAGATACTTTTTCAATTTAGCTTTTTTAAATCTTCAAAATTTTCCTAGATAGCATTTTTTCAATTTAGCAATAGTCCTTATAAAACCAATAATAGTGTGTTCTTGGCTTCCCTGAGAGCAGGGTCAGGCCAGATGATGCATCAGAGTGTGTCAGCACAGATATATCAGTGCAGTTTCACTTGCTTTTTATGAATACTACAGGTTGCTATTAAGATCAGTATTATTTAACATTGCATTAGCGCAT